ATTAACAAAACCAGGCTATCTGGATTTGACAAAGGGGATTAGGCCCCTGGAGTATATCAGAATTTGCTGAGTGTTTTGATGTTCTTTATCTTTTGTATCATAGGCAAAAATAAAAACACATTCCCTGTTGTTACAATATGAAACCCCCGAAAAAAATAACCGATGAACGAGCATCTGAATATATTTCTATCGCTATCCCTTTCTCAGCCATCACAAACCCAAGGAAAAAAATTAGCCAATCAAAGGACATGCTCTGGAGTGTGGGTAACTAATACTTGCACTCCAGTTAACGCACTGTGCATGTATATGTATACCATTTAACACTAACACATTTTCCAAACTAAATTTCAATACTGATATGGTGTGTTCTATCATTCTTATGACACACAACATTAAATTATATAAATCAAATAATTACCTGAAAAAGTGATAAATTAAACAAGAGGGCCATGATGGCCCTGAAGTCGCTCACCTGTATATATGCCAACAGAGCGGGGCCAGTTTAAATCCCAGGGCTTTTATTTGAACAAACTTGGTAGACACCCATTAGAAGATGTTTCATGCTAAACATCTAAGGTCTAGCTGGTCAAGTTTTTTCTTTACACATATAGTTAAAAACAATGACACACCTGGGGCAGGGCCAGTTTTGACCCAAGGGCTTTTATTTGAACAATCTTTGTAGACACTTACTAGAAAATGTTTCATGCTAAATATCTAAACTCTAGCTATTCGGGTTTTTTTCAAAGAAGATTTTTAAGTTTTTGCTATACACATATATGGAAATCAATGTCCCCGGGGCGGGGCCAATTTTGACCCCAGGGCTTTCATTTGAACAAACTTTGTAGACACTCACTAGAAGATGCTTCATGCTTAATATCTAAACTCTAGCTATTTGAGTTTTTTCAAAGAAGATTTTTAAGTTTTTGTTATATACACATATAAGGAAAATAAATGACCCCCGAGGCGGGGCCAATTTTGACCCCAGGGCTTTTTTAAGAACAAACTTGGTAGACACTCACTAGAAGATGTTTCATGCTTAGTATCTAAACCCTGGGGTGGGGCCAATTTTGACCCCAGGGCTTTTATTTGAACAAACTTGGTAGACACCCATTAGAGGATGTTTCATGCTAAATATCTTAGCTCTAGCTCTTTGGGTTCTTTAAAAGAAGATTTTTTAAGTTTTTACTATATGCATATAGGGAAATCAATGATCCCCTGGGGCGGGCCAATTTTGACCCCAGGGCTTTTATTTGAACAACCTTGGTAGACACCCATTAGAGGATGTTTCATGCTAAACATCTTAGCTCTAGCTTTTGGGTTCTTTAAAAGAAGATTTTATAAGTTTTTACTATATGCATATAGGGAAAATCAATGACCCCCCTGGGGCGGGGCCAATTTTGACCCCAGGGCTTTTATTTGAACAAACTTGGTAGACACTCACTAGAAGATGTTTCATGCCAAATATCTAAGCTCTAGCTCTTTGGGTTTTTTAAAAGAAGTTATTTAAAGTTTTTTATTTCGGTTGCCATGGCAACCAGAGTTCTGCATGAATATTAAATTCTTTGAACAATTTTTAAAGGTGACCACCAAAGGAACATTCCTGTGAAGTTTAGATGAAATTGGCTCAGTGGTTTATGAGGAGATGTCATTTAAAGTAAAAGTTTACGGACGGACGGACGCCGGAACGAAAAGCGATCACAAAAGCTCACCCTGTCACTTGGTGACAGGTGAGCTAAAAATGGCAATCTACCACTTTACCCAGACAGTTTGAATAATGGCAACACTCGTAACTCATAACAATTAAGCATGAATGAAAATAAAAAAAGACTACAACATTAGTAAACATTACTTGATCCATACTTATTTCTTGTTATTTATTGTTCTTGCATTTGTTGACATTTGACTTGTATATTTATCACCTCATTATTTGTAAACAAAGTGGTCAAAGAAAGACACTCAGACTTGTAATAGTAATTACCCTAATGGAAAAATATTAATATACTCAATAAAAAGTTAATGTGCACATGTAACAATTATTACAGGAGTAGAGTAATAAATTTAACCTTGACAGCTTGACATTTGCCTGAATTGACACAGTCTTCACGTTGACACAGCACTGGGGGCCAGGCTGAAATATAACAACAACATTATTTCTGATTTCACTTCACTGCTTTTAACTTATTACGAGATTTTGGATTGTGTTTCTTTTGGCTACATTATAAATAAGTTTACTTTTTAATTATGATACATACAAAATATCAAGCTTTAAGTAAACACATTTTACTTGTTCTTTGTGAGTAATACTGTTAACAATTTAATATTTAATTGTTATTTTAAGCTTGTTTACACCATTCATTTTAAAGCACTCTTACAATGTAAAACAAATTGTTCAACTATGAATTTTTTAGAGCTTATTTCAGATATGCACAACCTTACTAGAAGACATTTTTTTATTTTCTTAAATATGAAAAATTGTGGTTAAGGTCGTTGACATCAACAAAAAAAATTGATCTTAAGGTTTAATTGATTTTAACAAATGTTTGCAAATAATTCTAAATAAAAACCTTACATGTATACTAAGTATCAGAAAACGAAAATAAACATTGAACATTTCTTCTAAGGTAAGATGTGCAATATTCTAACATACATGTATATTGAAATACAATGAGAGGTATACGAACATTCTGTTGTTATATACAATATTACATCAATTAGCCAGATGACATCAATTTATCATCTGTCAATATAGTAATTGATACTGTACATTGTATACATGTATATATTACAATGTATATATGATTATATTACTTCTTTTTCATATGCTGAAATTAACACTGGCACGGAAATAAATTTGACTTCTCGTGCATCATTGTTTTTAATAGCCTTATTGATCAGTTCAAATAAATTCTAAGGATAATCATTTAAATAACATTAGAATCATTACATTTAACCACAACTGTTGTTTTTGCAGCTGTTGCTATAAGTATAACTAAAACAGTGTAGAAACAAAGGAATGACTTGACTTACCACTGTATTTATAATGAATACCACGTCTGTCTGATAGAGAAGGGTTCAGCTGCGGCCAATAGTAGAAGAGAAGGTTCGCGGCTGGTGCTCGAGCCGACGGTGGTCCATATGCAATAATGCTTAGTACGTCTTTGATGATATCTTTTTTTAGACTCATAAAACACTCCAGTATTTGGGAATGGTATGCTATAATATAAATTCATTTTCAATTTATTATCTCTCTTTTATTTAAATATAAGCCGGATTTGAATGTTTAGTTGACTTTAATCATTGTTTGTGAATGTCATCATTATCTATACACATTTTTTTACACAACAAAACATTCTGATCAATATTTTACTCTGTAATTACATAATTAGAATACACAGGAAAAGATTGACTTCCCATGCTACGTAAATAAAGGGACCAAAGACAATCTTCAAATATTGGTCTATAACTTAGTAACTCAGTTGTTGGCAAGCCCAATGAATTACTTGTTGGAATGAAGTCACCTTTATAATGAATAAATTTCTCTGTACCCAGTCATTTATCATATAAAATATAGACAAGATAGCAAATAAAGTGTTTAACATTCACTTGCGCTGAATTTCTTCAATGGACTTGCCCAGTTTCCAGCTTCGTGAGCCGCGATGTACATGTAGTTAAAATGAATGGTTACTGATTTCATTATGCCTGGTGCCTAGCATAGTGGTAGGAGTTGGGAGGTACATGGTATGCAAGTAAAAGGTGTCTCATAAGTCAGAAATGGCTGGCCCTTTCAGTAGGGGTGACACTATAATAAACAAGACCTTTACCTTTTATTTGAGACTGTCCATTATGTATTTTGGGAATATCAAGATTAAAGTCTAAAATTAGTTAGCCAGCGGTGTAAAGCTTGGTCTGCCTGCACGGCACAGATTAGAAGGCTTGCCTGGCTTTATATTGTTGGCAAAGGGTAATCAAAGTCAGTTTCAGCAAGGTAAAAATAAATAACTCACATCCATTATCTGTATGTTGAAACACCATAGTAATTATAGCAGCAGCAGATTCACTGGCATATGTCGGCTCCGAACAACCTTCAAAACCTATAAATAAAACACAGCATTTGTAGAATATGCATAGGCCATCCTAGTTACTTTTGGATATTTCTTTTACAATCCACTCTGGCAAATATTCCTAATTTATACTAATGCAGTAAAGATAATAAATTTGAACCACATTTTGGTAATTTTCGTGGGGTGTGAGTGCTGTTTGTAATGTGTAAACTGCTTCTTTTGGTTACTTCACATTATCTTACTTTTAAAAACATTGTCAAAACTTTTCATGAAAATTAGCATGAACTTGGAGGCGCGCTGCTTGAAAAGATTCATAGCAATATTGTCAAATGTCATTCTCTATATTCAGTTTGTGATGACAGTTTTGTGTAAAAATCACAAAAAACAAAAACAAACTTTCTTCTACTGCTGTCATAAAATTCAATGATAAATTATTTATTTTACTGAAATACAATCATATTCATTATGACTTTACGCAAATCCTATAAACTGACATACAAAAATGTATACATGTATACAATGTAATTTTTTTCAACCTGTATAATTTTTTATTATCGTTGATAATATTGTTAAAAAAAGACATTATGTTCATTCTTTTTTACATACTTTTAGTCAAGTTCAGCTGATTTTACTATAATCCATTGATTACTTACCAAGTTACAGTTAAATACAGCAGTAAACATTAAAAAAATAAACCTTCAAGGTCAAGGTCATAAATGACCCAAAGTCAATTTGAGTTTGATATATTAAGTCTTATCCTAAAGAATGTTGTGTCTTTATATGAAATTAATTTGTTCATTAATAACAAAGTTATAGCTGTTTACAGCAAAAAAGAGAGAAAATTTCCATAATTTATAATAAAGGTTAAGGCCTGTCTGGTTAACTTGATTATCTATCCTAAAAGATTGTTGTGTTCAAGTTTGAAGACAATCCATTCAAAAATAACAAAGTTATAGCCACTATGAACAAACATCAAGCAAAATTTATACATTTGACCTTGAGGGTCAAGGTCATTTATGAATGAAGGTCAACGTAAGACTGATCTACTTGAACATCTTGTCTAGAAGATAATACACTAAGAACATAAAAAGTTATTATCAATGTTAAAGTTTGAGGAATGGCAACGCTGATATGACTGTAACATATCTCTATTTTTTTAGTTCGAAAAAAGTTGAGCTAAAAATGTATCACGTTGGTATAAAGCGTATAAAGCACAATGAAGTATGAGTGCACTTGTACTTCAGTCAATTGACCAGAAACAAATTATATAAATGCACTTTGTGTGTAAAAGTATCAATAAAACTGTCTAATTAATAGCGATGAAATTACTACAATGACTTCATCTTATTGTCATATCGTATTTAAATACTGTACAGGTAGTCGCAATATGTAAGTATTCCTATATATAATAATAATTTATATAAGAACACAAAATAACAGGATAATGAGAAAGGTAAAATATATCAGCCTGCGCATAACACAAGAAACAACAAAAACAAAAAAAATATACTTTGACCAATATTGGATAAACACAGTAACATTAATATCATAATACAGTGTAAACAACAAGATTAATGCATTGAATAGCCTTCAAATGTAAAACCATAGAAATGATGCAGTATTTATCAATTACATGAAACAACTGAAATTAAACCAACACTTTAATGGTTGTACGATGATTATAATTATAAGGAGACTAACCTCAGATTGACATACTGGTATATTTTATTATTTTTACAATGTACTTTCAAACATTAAACCTAAGCAGTAAATTTTTTCTTTTTTTTCTTTTGTTCATTTGTTTTATTGGTTGTTTTTTTTTAAGTTTGGGGGAGGTCTTACATGTGTTTAATATCATGTATGTTATCAATATGGATTTGGAACATTTTAAGTGAATTTTGTATACAATTAGGGTAGTAAAGTGTAAACACTGACTACCATATCCATACAAAATACTTTATCACTATAACTGCACTACAGGTCATTGCAAAAATGCTTTGAAATTTTATCAGAACACTTAAATTTATATATTTTTTTAAATGAAAATATATAAATAAAGCTCTGATCTTGACATTACTGTAAAATAAGCTTCTGCTCTAAAGAATATAAAAAATTAAAGATTTTAAATTCATCAGTTGAATAAAAATTTTGACATAATTTAAGCAACAATACTGGGGAATTCACGTTTAGAGCTATAAGGTTTTGGGGTAAATTTTTGAAGCCCTTATTCATCTGTAAACACAACCCATAAGTAGACCAGCATTATTGGTTCGAATCTTCTGGGCCATTAATCACAATTATAAAACTGATTTACTTTATCTCAACACTAGAAAGGTAGAGAATTATTGTTAAATAATGGAATTCATCTTCAACCAAATCTTCCAAACTGCATTTAATCTCCTAAATTTTGTTAAATATAAAATATATAAGATATGTTTACTTACCCAGTGTCATTGGAAGTAAGTTGCTACAGAGTAAATCAATGGTATCTTTGTGTAATGTTGGAGGGAATATTGCGAGTGTTGAGGCCACTGTGTAGGGAAGGGAATCCAGTAGGTCATTCTCTAAGAATGGAACCAGACAGCCGAGAACATTCAATACTGCTTCACCCAGCTCTAAAATACAAACAAATTGCTGCATGTAATGTTTAGTATAATCCTTCGACTTGATTTGAAACACTGATCAAAACTAAACATAAATCATCATGTAATTCAGAAATAATTTGCTCAAGTAATGACACAATGTTTCTACTACCGTTTGCCTTAAGATTATTGAACTTAAAAACATTTCTACTGAATTTAATATCAACAAACTCAAATTCAGGTAAAATTGAATTTGTTATCATAGACTTCTTATGATATTAGATTATTGCTTAGTGTTACAAAATAATCTTATGATCTGTGTAAACAATTAAAAATACTTAACAATGTTGAGAAACAAATTTTAAAATACAAAACAACCTAGTGATAATTTGACATAGCTACCGGTACATGTAATTGAAATAGACCATTTCAAAAATGATTATCATAAGATGCTTGAAAATGTACACATTAAGTCATGTTTATGAATGTCCCTTCCAGAAAGAATTTGACTCTTTTCTTTTCAATCAAACTTACTCTACAAACAAATTTATAGAAAAAGTCAATGATTAAATTATAGCAAAAACTGACTTTTATTGTCCTTGAATTATGTGCCTTTAAGATGGCATCACATTTTGAAAGTCAACAATTCATGCAATACATGTAGTTATGAAGTGAATATTTTAAACAGTTTATAAGAGAATGGACCTTTAAGAAAAGGTTAAACAATGCTGATACCAATGCCAACAAGAGGGCCATGTCATGACAATACATGTAGCTTCACTTTTTTCTTTAAAAGAGGAACTAAAAATGCAACTAGCTTTTGTCAATAATGTATACCTGTAGTACAAATTGTTTCTATAAAATTAAGTATTAACTATCTTTTTCACAGAGGTTATCAACCTCCAACTTGCAAACTTTGTGAAATAGATAGTTATTTTTTTATTGTTTCCAGTGTGGTTTCTATGTATATTATAGAATAAAGCACCATACTATATCATTGCAACAGTACTAGACATGTAGACTGAATATCAGACAATCAAATTTCATGTCTATCACCATAACAACCTTTTCTTTCATTTTGTTTGGGAATATCAAGTATCTTATTGTATATGTATGTAAAATTAAATAAAAAAAGAAATTACTTACCTAACTGTCCAATTTGTATGACAGGAACAAGGTCTATCATATTTAAGGAGGCCTTGTACAGTCCAGAATAGTTATTATTTGGGAATACAGACAGACGGACACTGTCTCTTTGACCGGGACCATAGCTCTCTGCTGGTATGTTAGGTACATCCTTCAGAATACTGTAAAATGATTCATAGAAACAAGTTATTGCAAGAATTCAGATGTTTTTTTTTTCTTTTTACTTTTAAAGTATGGCTATAATTCAAGATTTAGCTTCCAGAATCTACTCAGGTGCCCACTTGCGCCTGAATTTATGTTGGTAGGAGCCCTTAAGGTCTTTCTCCACCAGTGAAGTTGGGAAGTCACCATATGGTCTTTACAGTGTTGGTGTGACTTTAAAACCCGACCAAAACAAAATTAAAAATTTGAGTATCAAAAGCAACATCGAAGCACAACTCAGAATGGTCTTCAAGACTTAAACATGTTCACACTATGATTGCCATGATCAATATCAGACTGTATCTTTCCTTTGAGAAGTTTTGGTCATAGGGGGCCCACACAGTGTTTGGATGGTATATACTGCTTGATGGTTACCTTAAAATGAGATTTTAGTCATAACCTTATAATATGTATATAAATATAGTCTATATTTATATACATATTATAAGGTGGCCCCCCTGTGACTTTGGTGCTCACTTCAAATGAGGAATGACTTAATTTCTCCTTGTAGAGGTTGTACTCAAAAGACACCTTCATTGTGAAAAAAATTGTGATCCTTGCATATTTTACCACCATTAAAGCTGGAAAAGCCTTTTTATGACCGAAAGACCTATCAATATGAAAATGAAAATAAAAAACAACATCAGCACTTACCTGAGCAGTGTTTGTGAGAAATATTTTAGGGTGTTAGCAATATCAACACCTGTAGGTTGAGGTGTCAAATTGTTAGAGACACTGTAATGATAATCTCGCAGATTTCTGATCTTTGATGTAACTGAAATAAGATTTAGCTAAACTAAATAGTCTTTTGTATAATATGTATAGCAGAAGATTTAAAAAGCAGTAGATTTAAAAAGATATGTGTATATTGTTGTAAGTTTAATTTGGGTTTTAATACTAGAGTTTTCCTTTAAAAGAAGGCATTATTACTTCAGCATTTAACCTTTAAAAGAAGGCATTATTACTTTAGCATTTAACAATCTGATTATCATTAAATATTTTTATTCAAGGCCTGACAGTAAAAAATGAAGAAGTTTTGGTTGAAAATTTATCACATTCTAGGAAAACACAATTCATTATAAAGCTTTTAACGTTAACTAGAAATGTATCCATAGTACACACACATATTCCCCAACTTCAATTGCCTATCATAGGGCATATTTACTTGACTAAAGTCATTTACTTGACAGATCTCAAGTGTTATATTAACCTTTTAACCTGCTGGAAACAAAAGTGAATAGCCTTTGCCGTATAGGAATATCTGGAAAAAGAAGTCTGAGACTGTGACCAGGCTCTATACTTTTGGCAAACCAACTTTAAATTTTATCTTGATACCCCCAAAATTCATACCAGACTGTTCTAAATATGGAAAATGGAGAGGTCCATATTAGAAATGTAGCAGGTTAAGAATTAAAATATATACATGAATAATAATAGTATTACAGCTAAGTTTCACAAACCTATGACTGAATATGGAACATACAGACAGAACTGATGGACCCTCCTATCACCATATACACCCCATTTATTATTTGAATGGTGGAATGTAAGCCGCATAAAAACAAGGATTTGACACAATATGTTTTACTTTCTGAATGTATACTTACATGTTACAGCGTGTGTTGTTAAGGGATGTGAAGTCATTTTGAAATGTTCTACTGCTCATTAATATTTCATAGTACTGTTCACATTCTGCATGGTGATCACATACATAATGTGCCAATCAGCAGTTTCTGAAAGTCATAAAATATTTCATGCTAAATTACTTGTAATATAAAAGTTAACCTCATTTTTTCCTATAGGTTAGCTTAAGGTCTTCAGTGTACCTGTTTCAATATAATTGTGACATGGCCCAATCAGATGAAAAACAAAGATGTTAAGACAGGGACTTAATTAAATTTTGGAAGCCCAAACTACCTATATATACTGTGCTCCTCTTAGTTCACGGTACTTAAGGCTTTGAACCCAGAAAGAAAACAACAAATGAAACTTATGGTACAAAAACTGTCATAAGCTATAACATATAGGTATTTTCTGCTGTATGGCACAAGGAAACAACAATATATTCAGTCAAAGTCAATCTTAATGGACCAAACGTAGACCATATGTCGGCCATTTTGAAAACAGTATGTCATCATTTAAATCGCGGTAATGGTGTTACATGTTTCAGTTAAAATTTCTACATGTTATTTTGCTTAATTGTAAATATTAAAATTATCCTTACTTTGTTACTCAAAATTTATTTTTTCAACAACTAAAAACATTTAGAAAATGATGATTGTTTCAGACATACGCACAAATTTAATGAAAAATTGTTGCTTTTTGCAGAAAATTGTAAAATGTTGTTCTGTTTTACGTAAAAATCTAGAGATTTAAAATATTTTGCACAAAAAACATGTTTTTTAGGTGTATGAATAAAATATGTCAATTCTGACCAATTTTGACTCTGGTCTCATGAAAATATGCCATTACCGTGAAATAAGTGATGACGCGGAATTAGTGATGTTGAGTATACATGTACATGTAGATTATGGTGCTGTAGTGTGTATTTTTCAAGAACCATCTAAATATTAAAGCTAACCCTTATATTCAATTTACATATATTGTATGAGTCCAATATCACTTACCCCTATCTAACATTGAACTCAGAGAGGCTAGCCAGTAATGGGCATACATGTGAACTCTCCCACTTTAAGCGGGAGACTACCTCTTTCTGCAGCCATATTTTCAAAGATTTTTCTTAAAATAAGGGGTATTTTCACAAATTCAAGAAATCTCCCTTTTTTTGATGTCAGAACTTCCTTCTTTGTTTATTGTAAATTCTAAAATCTCCCTCTTTTTGAAGGAAAATCTCCCACTTGATCATCGAAAAAAGTTCACATGTATGAATGGGAAAAGTGTACATGTATGTCTTTTCATAAACAAACCAATACACCCATAAACATTTTCAATATGATCTACCTAAATAACCGAGGTATATCGAGTGAAACTAGAGGATGCTTTTGTAAAAAAGCGCATGTCTCCCCCACTGCAACGGTCGCTGTGACCTTGACCTTTGACCTACTGACCATTAAAACAATAGGGATCATTTGATTAATAAGACCAATCATCCTATGAAGTTTGAGGGTTGTAGGTCAAAAGGAACTCTAGTTATCATCCGGAAATGAGAAATTGACCAACGGTCACTGTGACCTTGAACTTTGACCTACTGACCCCAAAAACAATAGGGATCATCTGCTCTATAAGACCAATCATCCTATGAAGTTTGAGGGCTGTAGGTCAAAAGGAACTCTAGTTATCATCCGGAAACGAGAAATTGACCAACGGTCACTGTGACCTTGACCTTTGAACTACTGACCCCAAAAACAATAGGGATCATCTGCTCAATAAGACCAATCATCCTATGAAGTTTGAGGTCTGTAGGTCTAAAGGAACTCTAGTTATCATCCGGAAACGAGAAATTGACCAACGGTCAGTGTGACCTTGACCTTTAACCTACTGACCCCAAAAACAATAGGGATCATCAGCTCTATAAGACCAATCATCCTATGAAGTTTGAGGGCTGTAGGTCAAAAGGAACTCTAGTTATCATCCGGAAACGAGAAATTGACCAACGGTCACTGTGACCTTGACCTTTGAACTACTGACCCCAAAAACAATAGGGATCATCAGCTCTATAAGACCAATCATCCTATGAAGTTTGAGGGCTGTAGGTCAAAAGGAACTCTAGTTATCATCCGGAAACGAGAAATTGACCAACGGTCACTGTGACCTTGACCTTTGAACTACTGACCCCAAAAACAATAGGGATCATCTGCTCAATAAGACCATTCATCCTATGAAGTTTGAGAGCTGTAGGTCAAAAGGAACTCTAGTTATCGTCCGGAAACGAAGAATGGACGGACGGACGGACGGACGGACTGACGGACTGACGGACTGACGGACGGACGGACTGACGGACGGACGGACAGGGCAAAAACAATATGTCTCCCCCCGAGGTGGGGGAGACATAAAAATACGAGTTGCTTCCCTTATCTTCGAGTAAAATCGATATCGCTTATGGTAAAACAATACAAAATAAGCTGTTTTTAAACCGCTAGTTTGTTGTGATTAAATGTCCGATTTTAAAATGTATTACACCAATAGAAAGCTTTGAATCTTAGCTTCGTCACAGTATAAAATTCAACACATCTTTGGACTTCAAAGTATTTTAATTAACTGTTAAACCTACCATATGTCAGACCATTTTACGTACGATTTATACAGTGAGATACGCAATCCGTTATCTTTACTCGAAATTCTACTGATATGAATAGCCTGTCGTCTGCTAGTTCTGAAAGTGTTTATCGGTGTATTAAGCAAAATAAATATCAATTATCAAAATAAGAAAACAAGAGAAGTCATTGCATACACAATCTACTTCATATTGTGTAAATCAAATACTCACTAATTTGTGATCTAATTACTCTATTGCACCTCCGGGCTTTCTTTTGGCTAGTATTTTTTTAACTAATCAACAAACTTACTAATTCCGGCAGGATATTAGCTTTGTCTAAAAGTAAAAGATATTTGTTTGCTTAATTGACCTTTTATTGCAAGGCTAATGGGCTATTCCAGAAAATATCCGCACCCCCCCTATGGAAGAGGTCTGAGATGAAAATGCCCCCCTAGGACAAACACTCAAAGGTACCCCCTTGGACAACATAATGTAAACAGTTTTACTCAAAATGACCCCCTTGGACGACCTTAAATGTTAGATTTTTGCCCAAAATAACCCAATGGACAACCTATGGAAGAGACTTTTGATCAAAATGCCGTCCTTTGACAACCTATGGAAGAGACTTTTGCTCAAAATGACCCCCTTGGACAAAAATTTTCAATATCCCCCATTGACAAACTGCTGTAATTGACCCCCTAGGACATCTTCCATAGGTATATTACTATTAAAAATAGACCCCCTGGACAACCTATGGAAGAGACTTTTGCTCAAAATGACCCCCTTGGACAAAAATTTTCAATATCCCCCATTGACAAACTGCTGAAATTGACCCCCTAGGACATCTTCCATAGGTATACTATTAAAAATAGACCCCCTGGACAACCTATGGAAGAGACTTTTGCTCAAAATGACCCCCTCGGACAAAAACATTCAAAATCCACCCTCGGACAAGCTACAGAAATTGACCCCCTAGGACATCTTCCATAGGTATATTATTATTACTAATAAAAATACACCCCCTGGACAACCTATGGAAGAGACTTTTGCTCAAAATGACCCCCCTTGGACAAAAACATTCAATATCCACCCTAGTACAAGCTACAGAAATTGACCCCCTAGGACATCTTCCATAGGTATATTACTAATAAAAATAGACCCCCTGGACAACCTATGGAAGAGACTTTTGCTTAAAATGACCCCCTTGGACAAAAACATTCAATATCCACCCTAGGACAAGCTACAGAAATTGACCCCCTAGGACATCTTCCATAGGTATATTACTATTAAAAATAGACCCCCTGGACAACCTATGGAAGAGACTTTTGCTCAAAATGCCCCCCTCGGACAAAAACATTCAATATCCACCCTCGGACAAGCTACTTAAATTGACCCCCTCGGACATCTTCCATAGATATAACACTAATATAGATCCCCCCCTCCTCCTGGACACCCTATAGTAGAGACTTGATCAAAATGACCTCCCTTGGACAAAAAGTTTTAATATCCCCCAAGCCCCTTGGACAAACTACCAAATTAACCCGCTACGACATCTTTCATATCTTTAGGATCTGATTATCAGCAATAGGTTGTCACCTTCTCATATCCTTTTAAACAAGCAATCAGCGACGAGCTTTCATGCATAATTTTTAAAGCCTGCAGACCCTGTAAACTGCCAAAACAATATTGACCATTAAAAATTTAGTCTATTATTTCCAGTTTATTTGTTTCATATTACTTCAAACATTCTTTTTCTAACAAAAATACATGTAAAGGAAGGTTTGATTGCATTGCTAATAATAGCTAAATTTTTGGGAAATCCTTATCACAATGATTGCGAAACAAATACAGTGGAAATCAGATCTACATGTAAAAAGAAAGTAGATCTGAGCTTGTTCATAGGTATAACGCTTATAAAGACCCATTGGACAACCTAGGGGTTAGGGTTAAAGAAATAGCCTCCCTTGGAAAAAATAACTTTTGATGCCCCCTAGGACAAACTATGACAAATCTTGTATATTCATAATACACTTTTTTAACACAATGGACAACTTATGCAAAACATCATGTCTGTTCATAATCATTACTTTCACAGACACAGTTTGGGAGTAACTAAGGCTAAAAAAAAGACCCATACAATTCAGTCTAGCCAAATTCAGATCATACCTCTTATTACATGACAATAAGGAAGGAAAATTATAGTGATATTATGCCCATTTATTTGAGTAGTCAAGAAAATGTTACATTTTGCCATAATTGTTTTTTAATTTTTGTATATTACTTCCCAAATTATCCAGATATAACTAATCCACATGATGGTCCTCATGGGCTCCTTGCTGCTAGTTCTTGTTGCTGGGTCATGTGGGGGTTGCGTTCATTGAACACCGCCTTTCCTTGTTGATCTTGTCTATCATATTTTATTGAAAATTCTATAGAAATCCTTTAGAATGTATAATTTTGTAATTCTTGATTGATAAAAATATTGGGACAGTCTTTTTTAATTCAAAGGTAGCTTAT